TTAACTCTACTGTCCATACAGTCATGTATTTGTATTACTTATTGTCGGCATTTGGACCCCAAATACAGCCCTATTTATGGTGGAAGCGATATATCACACGATTGCAGTTAATACAGTTCGCTATACTTATAGTGTATTCAATTTATTGTGTCACCTCCGGTGATCTGGATCTTCCCGAGTCTCTTAAATGGTTGGGTGCTATTCAACCATTTATTTTCTTCTATATGTTTTCAAAGTTTTATATAAATTCATATAAAGGAAAAATAAAAGCCCATTAAATATGAGCGAAAAATTAAATGTTTTTATTTCGTAAATCTAATAATTTCAATTGTATTATAAAATATATTTAATTGTTTAAAATAATTGTATTTTTAATATTTCTATAAATTTATATTAACTAAAATTAATTAGTATCAATAGTTTTAATTTTAAGACATTTTAATTTTAACTGTTTAATCATATTATTATTATATTCAGTGTAAGCGTTAAAATACAACTTAATGTACAGAATATTCCGTAATTCCGATATTGTATTCAATATTCTGTCATCAATTTTATCCTTCATTTCAAGTGTTAAGTACTGAATGTTTGGAAAGCAGTTTACAATATCCCTGAGCATTTTATAACTGACATTACAACGGATCGTTAAATGTGTGATACGTTTCCATTGTTGACCACAAGTGAAATCAAGTGGCGGTAAAACAAAGTTATAATAAAAATGTCCCAAAATCTCCAAACGCGTCAACCGTTTATAGGACTTATGGATACAGTGTATGAGTTGTTTGACTTCATTGTCATTAATAAGTATTGCGTTCCGAAATTCAGTGTAAAAATGAATGGACAGACGTTTTAAATACTGGGATTTGAGTCCGATTTGTGTGAAACCCTCCATAACTGCGGCAAAACAATTCATTTCGTGGTTTGGGTTTAAGTCCAACAAAGTGTCCGATAATTTACCGAATCGTATGATTAGTTCACGTAGTGATTGCAGTTGTGATATGCCTGGTAATTTAGGTAAATAGTTTAAGTTATTTAGCTTCTTAACTAGGTCATTTATTTGTTAGTCACAAAGCTGTCATTAATAATTTCAAATCGTATTCATTGTTAATACCTCTTCCGTCCACATCAAGTGATATCAATACGTGTCCATAGTTTGCGACAAATACCGTCAATTCCGGGCTATAGTTAGCGGTGTTATTAATGTTATTAATTAATGCAAACTTTGTTTAGTTTTGCAAATAAACACTTGGATTTGAAAGCAATGGCCAATCTTAATCATAATTGGTTTGACTTATAGTCAAATGTGTGATATTTTCACATAATTTAATGTTTTCATTCATTGCATTCAATGCATCCAACCATTTGTATACAATTGTATTCATTTCAACAATTTTCAATTGTTTGAAAAATTTAGCGAAAAATTCATTAATAATACCGACACTAATATCATTTCCTAACCAAATGTTAATAGCATTTAAATGACAGCAATATTTAATAATCAATTCAAACTTTTGTGTATTAAATAACATGCATTCAATATGAATGTCCGTAATGTTGGGTAATTTTTTAAGCAATGACTCAAATGCCGATAAATTCTTTGATAACTTATGAATTCATTTATTATTCACTTTAATATTTAGTTGTGTTTGTGTCTCGTATACGACTCGTTGCCACTGTTTGGACACACATTCACTGAGGAACCGATCTTCAAGTGATAGGAAAGACAACACATATTCACATAAATCGTCACCAAATCTGTCCAAAGAGTCTTTACTATAGATTTGAGACATTATTAAGTTATTAGTATTCTTAAACATAAATGAAAATAATTTTAACAATAACTGAGACTTAATTGTATGAACACATGGAGTGTTGGATATAGACTGCTGTGGGTATGGGAATAGAGACCTCTTATATGGGCTAATGTGCAGTCATATAGAGTGGAGGCATACGTGACATTAGATTTGTGGACAAACACTGGGAATGTATTGAATGTAATGTCAAACGAAAGACAATTATTAATCGACACGTGTTTTACAGATTAGACATTTACACAAATGTTTTACAAATTACTTACAAACTATATTACAAACAAGGTAAAGTGTAGGAAATGATCATAGGAATTTTAAAAACTCAAATAATATGTTTGAACTCAACTTTAATATGATTTTTAAAGTAGAGGTGAATTGTACTGGGTAGTAGTACTAAAACACAACGGATTTGAAATATATTTAATTTATGACAACATTTATTGTATATTTCTTATTCACTCTTATTTAAGTATCAAACAATATATTATTTAAAATCATTAAACATGGTTAACATTTAATATATTTAATACGTATTTTTAATATTTAGTTTGCAAAATTTATATTTAAATGAAATTAATTTAATAACTTTAAAAATTAATAAATCGTTTCAAAAATAATAGATTCTTTATTTAGAAAAAGAAATATTGATAAATTTGATTTATTTGATGGCAAAAATAATTTACTTAAACATTAGGTTATAAAATAAAGTTTTCATCGAAACCAATGACATGTAGTCTTGTTTGTAATGATCTCAAAGTATACACAAAAATAATGATAAACATAATTAATTTAGTAATTAACAGTACTTTATAACAATTCAAATGAAAATCTTAATCGCCAGATTTTTAACCAAAATTGAATAAAGTTGATAATTAATTTTAATAGTTTGGATAAGGGACAAATTTGAAATAGATTCCTAACATTAGGTTCATCAAACTCATAATAGATTTCAGCTACAGTAAGTTACATAAAATGATTAAACAAATAAATACAATCAAATGATTAACAAAAATTAATTATCTACAGATAAAAATAAAATAATTGTATTTGAAATTTTAAAAAATATTAATTAATACTGCTAAACATTTACATTAAGAAGAGTTGAAATACCCTTTTTGTATGTAATTACAGGAACTGATATAAGAAATAAATAAATACAAAAATAGGTATTCATTTCTGCTATATGATTAATTTACAATACTAATATAAAACAAAAACTATTTAATTATATACAACCATATATCTAAAATAAATGAATTATGTTAAATAATATTATACTCTGTAGTACTTTATCAATTACATCTGTTTGTAACATTTTAATAGTGAACAACGCCTAAAATTATAAAATTTATGTAATTTTAAAAATTTAGATAACTTATATTATCATAATAAAGTAGAGTACTAACATAAATTAGTACAATTATATAATTATATAATTGTTATTATATAAGGTTTCATTATATAAGCAAGCAGACATATTAAGTGTTTAATAATTTTAAATATATAAATTCATAAAAGTATTGATTAAACAATATATGTTAATATAATAAAAAATACCATGAGTTTGGATACAATTGTTTATTTGTTACACCAGTATTGGGTCGATACTACTGATGAACATATTAAGGACTATGAATTTTTTGGTGCTGGACCTGCACTATTGATATTAATTATGTTATCATGGCTTATATTTGTCACTAAACTGGGCCCATTTGTCATGAATAATCGAAACCCATTAGTTATGCGAGAAATAATAATTGGATATAACTTTGTATTAGTTGTGATCAACATTTACTTCATATACGCTTCACTCAAAAGGTTAGAGTTTGGCCGCAAGTCATGGAACCCAAGACTACCCCCGAGTAACCAATGGTCTCAGAAAGACATCGCATTGTTACCCTTAAAATGTTTTTACTTTTACACAAAATTATTTGATTTATTGGACACAATATACTTTGTGTTGAGAAAAAAGTCAAATCAGATCTCATTTCTTCACGTCTATTACCATTTTATGGGTATTTTGCGAATAGTTTTATTACAGTATATGAATATACACAGGTTGCTTATTTATTTTAAACTTTTAACCTACAGTTCCTGTGATGGGTTGGCTGGCGGTTAAACAATGTTCGCAATCAGTTATTGTTGAAGTATTTTGTTTACTCAATTCCATTGTCCATACGGTTATGTATTTGTATTACTTATTGTCGGCATTTGGACCCCAAATACAGCCCTATTTATGGTGGAAGCGATATATAACACGATTGCAGATATTACAATTTATAATACTTTTAGTGTATGCATCTTGGTGTATTACCTGTGGTGATATGTCCCGTTATCCACATGGTGTCAAATGGTTGGTCACTATTCAGCCCATTGTTTTTATATACATGTTCACCAATTTCTATAAAAATTCATATGAAAGTAAAATTAAAACCAATTAAATATAAATACAATATTTAAAATATAATTAAATTATATAATTGTCTAATTAGTTTAATATTATCACTGATATTTTATCAGATACAATAATATAAATTAAAATGTAAATCAATATTTTTCACTATAATATCATATTTTAAATACTTTATCAAGTCATAATAAAAAAGTGATATTTTATGACGCTAATAATAAAATATTAATTTATGTTTATGATATAAGTCTCTATACAAAAAATAAACATAATCTATACTAAATCCTATTACATGAAAATTGTAAACTCAATCACTCCAAATAGATAGCAAATTATTTAATATGAAGTTATATTAAAAATCTGTTGCGAAATGTTTGTAATCTCTAAAAAAATTCCTAAAATTATGTAATAATCTAAAATAAATTGCTTATTTAAAATTAAAGTCTAATTAAACTTTTATTAGCAAATAGTGACTTAATTGCGAAACAGATGTCTCTAAAATTTAATTGATTTTCACGTTTAATACATATTAATAAAATACTTTAAGAATAACAATGCCTACTATGGGTTTGGACTCAATAGTGTATTTGTTATACGAGTATTGGATCGACACCACCGATGAACATATTAAAGAATATCCACTTATTGGCGGAGGACCTGGTTTATTTATATTAATTATGTTATCATGGTTATTGTTTGTCACTAAATTGGGTTCAAATTTTATGAGAAATCGCAAGCCATTTGTATTGCGGGAAATAATGATAGCATATAACTTGGTATTAGTTGTGATAAATGCATACTTCATATACACTTCACTTAAATGGCTAGAGTATGGACGCAAGTCATGAAACCCAAGACTACCCCCGAGTAACCAATGGTCCCATAAAGCCATCCAAGAGTTGCCCGAAAAAGTTGTTTACGGATATTCAAAGTTATTTGATTTATTGGACACGATCATTTTTGTATTGAGAAAAAAGTCAAATCAAGTCTCAATGCTTCACGTTTATCATCATTTTATTGGTATTTATTAATTATATTAAAAATCTCAATTAATTTTAAACTATTTTATAAACAGTTCCTTTAATGGGTTACCTTGTGGTTAAACAATGCCCGCAAACATTTGTTGTGGAAATGTTTTGTTTTCTTAACTCCAGTGTCCATGTGATTATGTATTCATATTATCTATTGTCGGCATTTGGACCCCAAATACAGTCCTATTTATGGTGGAAGCGATATATCACACGATTGCAGTTAATACAATTTGCTTTGCTTATTGTCTATGCCTTTTATTGTGGCATAGATAATTATGATAAATATGAATAATTATCCAGACTCTGTCAAATTTGTGGGCTATACTCAACCATTTGTTTTCTTCTATATATTCTTAAAGTTTTATATAAATTCATATAAAATAAAAAATCATTAA